GGCTTCTCTAGGCAGAGCAGAGTCTTTCGAGTTCTTGACGTTGTCAGATAGAACTCTGACCACACATCTTGCGAGACCCTCCATTTTAGACGCGACAACGTCCATCTTCTCCCTGCCAACAGTGGAAGGTCTCATGTCAGGGCATGTGAGATCAATGTTTAGATCGTATCCTAACACGCTCATCAGAGTTTTTTGTTTCATGTTCTTGACAATTGTCATGAATTAGTAGCAAAACATAGTAATGCGTACACATTAAGAGATACTAGACTCTAATGGCTTATGCACCATTTGTCACCTGCATTTGGAGATTACATGCCACTATATTTTATAGCAGGGTTTCATGGAAATTTTCATCTTAGGCAAATGATCAACAGACAATAGTTCATTTCTGCAGAAGTTAAGGAAGCTGGATTGAGTTTCATCTTGCTATATATGGCATGATATGATGGTGTCACTTTACTCTTCGTTCTTATGATGGTGTCACTTTCTAGTGCTTGCTTACTCCATTTTTCATACCAAAACATTGTGGGAATTTTTGCCTCCACCCCTGTGGACTTCACAGAACAACTCTGAATGTTTGGTAAGCTCTGAATCTATTATTTCATCAGTGTCAGACAAGCAAAGAACCAATGCACCTAGGTAGGCAGTTTCGTCGCATACGTTGTGACGGCAGTTCGAAGCTCTGATCGACAATATATGGTTGGAATTTTACTTTGAACAGTATTATGATCAAATTCCACTTGCCCAAAAAGAGCTCTAAATGTTCCATTTCTGCTGCAGCTAGGTAGGCAGTTTGGCAATGCGCACTGAGGCGCAGCGAACCAACGGTAGCTCCGAATAGGACGAGACGAGGCAGCAAAGAGACAAAAGTTACTAGTACTACAAGGTGGTGGGCTGGTAGCAATAATCACCTGAACGCTCGGTACGTCGAGACGGACAGGGCCGCCTCCAGCAACCGATCCACCTCCGAGCTCACCGGCCATGGCAAGTAGAGCTCCTCCCCGACCACCCGATCCCTCCTCTGGAACAACCTCCCCAGCTCCCGCTTCACCCGCTCCGGCGCCCCGAACATCGCCTCCGCGGCCACCACTGCAGCGCGAACCTCGCCGGCCCCGACCGCCCCGCCCACGCGGAACGCGCCGGCCTCCGCGGCGGCGCCGACCGCCGTCCGCGCGGCGGCCGCCTCGCCCGACAGCAGGCCCTGCGAGGGGATGTCCGGGGCCGGCGGAGGGGCCGGGAAGTCGAACCGCTTCTTCCTGGGCAAGGGCAGGGTGAGGGCGGGGACGCGCTGGGAGGCCTCGAGGAACTCGGCGAGGACGAGCTCGTCGGCCGCGGCGGAGCGCACGCCGCGGGCCGTCCGGATCGGCGTGGGCGGCGGCGCGCGGGAGCGGATGCGGGGACGCCGCAGAGCCCTCGACGTCGACGTCGCCGTCATGGTGGCGCCGGCTGGCGAACGATCGGGTGGGAATCGTCGGAAGGAAGGTTGCTGCTGCTTGATCGGCCAGCCAGGCTGGTGGAGGTTGCGTGGGTTTAAAGAAACGGTGGGGACGGGAAGGGGTCCGGGCCTCGTGGGGCGACCTGCGCCGTCGGATCTCGGACGCGTCGGATCGTGGGGGGAGGAGTGGTGGGAAAGTGGCGGCAGCACGACCGCCAACGACTTTTCGAGAGGGTGGCCATGCCCCATGTGGAGGAAGGCGAGACAGGGTGCGGTGGGGATGCGTCATGCCAACGTGGCACATGAGAGGATGGAAACGGCACGGCGATCACCGGAGACGATGGCAATGAAGAGTCAAATGAAGACTGAAAGTTGACAAATGACGGAACACGCTGTAGTGGCCTCGCTTCTGGAAACCTGTTCTTAGCGGCAAGGGTACATAACGGCGAGAAATCCACTTCTCTACATACTAATGTTGACTTTAAAGATTAACTATGTTTAATGCAACTAATTTTGATTCTAAATTAGGATTAATGCAATCACATGTTTATTATGGATGATGTAATGGATATACATCATTTATACAGCTTGAGACGTTGGATATAGGTGGTTGGATGGCTCTAATTATTTGGATTCACCAAACTCGTACCTTTATAAGTACTCCCTCCGTTCCAAATTACTCATCGCTGAAATGGGTGTATTTAGAACTAAAATACATCTAAATACATTTATACGTGCGATAAGTAATTCGGAACGGAGAGAGTAGTAAGTAGATTCACAACCCACCTTTCTGCATATATGATTTAAGTTCAGTCACTAAGTGGGCCTATGTTGTATATGAGCATGCACGACCCCCTCTCTCATCTCTCTCACGTACATGAAGGCATGGAGAAACACATATATGCCTTTTATTTTCTCTGTCACAATGTTAATTATTCGTAGCTTTTAAACTACATTTCTGTTTTCGAATTTTGTATATATTGATAATCCTAGCGCCAAGACCTTTAGAACAAGATACATCTTGAATAGTTTTCAAGCATGTTTAAATTTCAACATTTCAGTCTACTTGTTTCACCCAATCTATTTTAGTGTGTGAAATCGATTTTCAAAATCTCAACATTCCAATCAGCACATGCTTCAGTGAAAAATGTTATCTGAAATCGGTGAAATCAAATTTCTGAAATGAGTGAAATTAGTAATGAGTGAAATCATTTTTTTGAAATGAGTGAAATTGATGTTTTAAAATAAGTGAAATCGATTTATTAAAGAAGTGAAATTCTTTTTTGAATGAAAGTAATCAGTGTTTTGAAATGAATGAAGTCATCTTTTTAGATAAGTGATATCCATTTTTTTAACTGAGTGTTTGTATACGAGTGAGAGCATAAACCTGTGAACCATGTGTTGTGTTACTCATTTAGAAACAAAACTGATTCATTCATTCTAAAACAATGATTTTTTCTTCTAAATATGTCGAACGGGTTATTTGAAATATGTGAAACTGACTGTGTTGAAGTATTGGTTAATTCAAACATATGAAATTGATATTTCTCAATTATATGAAGTAGATTCAGTGTGTTTGTGAAGCCGGTTTGTGCTTCACTTTAACACAATTTCTGAAATGCATTTTCTTAAATTGAGCGATTATTGCGACATCATTTTTAGATAATTCATATAAGTTTTTCCAAATGTAATAAAATTAGGTTTTTTAAATGAGTGAAATTATTTTTTTGACGAGTTAAATTATTTTTTAAAATAATAGGGATATTTTTAAAATTAAAATGAGTGGAATTTATTTTTTGAAAATAAGTGTATTAGTTTTTACAACAGAGTGAAACAATTTAAATCAATTTTTGAAATATGTGAAATGCGCCAGTTCAATTATGTGAAGTTGATTGTTTCAATGTGTGAAACTAGTTTTGTGAAATATCACTAGAATTGAACTATGAAAACTATAAAATTTAAACTATTCAAAATATATCTAGGAACATTCTTGTTTTATAGGTCTCATCTCTCCTATTTCAAATATATGAATAGTTTCTAATTTGGAAATTTGGTTCAAAAGTTATCAATCATTTAAAATGAGTGAAATCCGTTTCTTTAATGAGTAAATTCGGCTTTGAAAAATGAGTGAAATCTGTTATTGTAAATGCATCAAATCAATTATTTTGAATGGTCAAATCATTTTTCTGAAATGAGTGAAATATTTGTTTGAAGTGAGTTAATCATTATTCTGAATTGAGTGAAATAATTTTTTTAGATGAGTGAAATCTGTTATTTGAAATCGGTAATATAAAACTTTGGTGAAATGTATCCATTTGGTATTATTTTAAAGGTCTTGGTGCGAGTAATTAAAATATATAAAAATATCACCAATCGGATTTATGGTTTAAAAGATATCAATCTCCAAAATTTTGGCTATGAATTTAATAGTAGTCTTTTTTGTGGGAGAGAAACTTGTGAAGCTTTAAATGCCACGGTACTCCACCCATACAGATTGTAACATAACTTGCATGGACATCAGGGATCCACAACAGGTTTGTATTATCATGTATTCAAATGTGAAAATTATTGGCTGGCTTATGCTCTAAATGCGTGCATCAGTCTCATTCTCAGTGTCCAAATGAGTTGTGGATCTTCCAACGTTACATACCCTTGCAGTTACAGTTACTATTTTTTGCATTGCTTCGCCTCTCCCCTCTCCCCATCCGCCGGTACCGACAGTCCGCGTAAACCATCCATGGCTTCTCCTTTCTTTCTCTCCTTTCTCTGTTCGTCAAATACAAAGTTCTCTGCAATTCCTCTTGGGTTCATCTTCAAAGATACTCCCGCCCTAAAGAAATATAAGAGTGTTAAGAGCGTTTAGATCACTAGTGATCTAAACGCTCTTATATTTCTTTACGGAGCGGAGCGAGTACTTGAGTAGATTTTGATTGCATGGGTAAAAGTCAGAGGAAAATGCACAACACCTTGACAATCCAACAAAAACAGTACAGGGCAGACAAGCTCCCATAGTAGGTGCACCTGCTGATGAGCAGACAAGCTGCCATAATAGGTGGACAACAATTTGGATTGCATGAATATTAGATCACCAAAAACTAGAACCTGGCCAAAATTTTGCAGTGCATGGTAACTGAAACAGAAGTTGGGGAAAACAATGTAAGGAACCATACCCTCATTCATGGGCACGAGCGATGAGGAAAATAGATAAAAACCAACAAGAGCAAACGGTGAGTGACAAGTGTAAACACATATTTATAGATAGTAGATAGCCATGTTCAAATCCGATGCTCAAAATAGGTAGATCTCCTACATAAAGATCAACATTTGGCCTCTTAACAGAATCTTCTACATAGTAGACTGAACAAAAGTAGAGAACTCATCCAGTACCTGGACTCTCATGAGTGTTTACCAGGAAAATGCCCAAAGAGAAACACATGGTTTACTCTAGGCGGTCAAAGTGCAACGAGTAAGAAACCATACGGCCATGTAAGCCTAGACAGAACAACATACTGGCATCATGCTAGATTTTACGATAGACTGATCAAAAGCAGAGCACTCTAGGAAGCTAATTCTGGGGCCAGTCGCCAGCGACGTTGGGAGCTGGAGCACCGGCGCCGAAGCCACCGCCAGCACCACCGGCGCCGAAGCCACCGCCAGTACCACCAGAACCTCCGCCGACACCACCAGGACCCCCGCCGACGCCACCAGGACGAGGAGCTTGGCCCACAGGTCTTGGCCCCTGCGAAATGAAACTACAGTATCAGCCACATGACACAACAGCATTACGCCAGATGGTAGAAATCGCACAAATAATAATCCACACAAAGGTAGAGTATGCGGTTTGGATCGATTGCACTAAATAATAAGTAATTCACACATCCATGTCTTCTTACAAGAATGAATTATTTGACTGTACATACCAAGCACATAGTTCGGCCATTCTAGTATTACCAGAGAGATCAAGATTGCATATATAGTATGATAGCTAAAGGATCATCAAAGCATGCCATTGGTGTGTTTCAAACATCAATCAACAGCAAGAGTACTAATTCAAATACAAGGAATAACTAGACGACCAAGCATTGACAGAAAACAATCTGCACTTCAGCCTTCAAGCACAACATTGATAGAAAAAAAATATTCAAAAGGCTAAATCTCCCAATGACTGCTTGTTTTTGGCGACCCCTGTCAAGAAACACAAGCACACCACTGTCCACTAGCATGAACAATTCACTGCATACATACCCCTTATACAAGGGAGATATTACACGGCAAACACATGAAAAGTAAATACAACACTAACACTATCTTCGTTCGCAAAAATAAAAAAAACACTATCTTCACATAAACATTTGGCAATCTTAAGGACCAATTCAACCCAACAGGAACCATGTGTTCCAAACGGGATATCGAGGCATGTCAGTTAGTTCGGCCATTCTAATATTACCAGAGAGATCAAGATTGCATATATAGTATGATAGCTAAAGCATCATCGAAGCATGCCATTGGTGTATTCTACCCCCGCGTCGCCTAGGAGGCGACTCGGGGGAACCCTAGCCCGTCGCGCCGCCACCCCCTCTCCCCGGCTCCCCCTGCCGCGCTGCCGCCGGAGGAAACTGCCGGGCGAAGCCCGCGCGGCGGACGGCGGCGGCGGGGCTTCCCGTTCGCGCGCGCGGCGTCGTTCCCGACGGCGAGGGCTCCAGGTGGGGGAGGCTCGGCCTCCGGCGCTGCGGCCGCCGCGGCGCTCCCCGGCGGCCCTCTGCTCCGTCCGGCGGCGGCTGCGTCTGGCCAGGCGCGGGCAAGCCGGGGCGGCGGCCCCGGGATCGGCGGCGGCGCTGGTTCCTCCTCTCCCTCGTCGGGAGAGTGGGGGGCGGCGCTAAGGCTGGCCATCTTCGATCTGGTGCGGCGCATCTGGTGGCGTGCGGCGTGCCTGTGGGTTCGGCGTGAGGACGGCGAGCCGTACGCGTGCCAGATCTGGAGGTATTGCCCCTCTCCCTTCCATGCATCCCTTCCCAGTCCCCGGGTCGGTTTGGATCCTGCCGGATCCACCTCCGGTGTGTTCTGGTGGAGCAGATCGGTGTCCGGGGGAAACCTTGGCTGCCTTAGGCTGACCGGCAGCGGCGACACCGATTTTTGGCGCCGCTTTCCTCCTTGGGGGCGTTGCTGAGGGCACCATCTCTCCTCTCCAACCCATGTCCGGGTGAAAGCCCAAGATCCGATGCGGATCGGGCGTCGGCGGCGCCCTAGGCATCGTAACCTTCCTGGAGGCGACGCCAAGGACATTGGGATCGGATGGAAGGGTCTGCAGATGAGGGGTGGGGGTGTGCTGCCTCCCTTCGGTGGAGCGGTGTTTCATTCTACATATTCTTGGCGGCGGCTCTTGGCGGCATGGAGCGGCGGAGGCTTGGCGTCAGATGTGTGGTAACGGACACGCGCAGGAGGTCGACGCTGTCTGGCGTCGTGGTGGCGTCGGCGGCAGCGAGACCGAGCAAGGTAGTTACAACAGTACAACTCTGAAGATGGATATGTGGTAGGTGGTTGTGGCGGCCTCATACCCGGCGGGCGGCTTGGTTGAGGAGCACGCCGGACTGGTGGGTGCCCATACCCGGCAGGCGTCCAGGTTGGGACCTCAGGTCTTAGATGTTAGGTTTGGCTGCGAGGTCTGTTTGGTATTAGGCCCAGACCATCAGCGCCCCTTCATCAGTTAGATAGGAGTAGCGACAGAGGTTGCGAAGATGGTGGCTTTGGTCTTACTGTTGTACGACTTTGTAAGGTTTTGTGCTAATAATTAATAAAGTGGCCATATGCATCGACCAGATGCAGAGGCCGGGGCTATTCCTCCTTTTCGAAAAAAAAAACACTTCAATGCAACAGCGAGAGTACTAATTCAAATAGAAGGAATAGCTAGACGACCAAGCATTGACAGAAAACAATCTGTACTTCGGCCTTGAAGTACAACATCGAAAGAAAAAAAAATTCAAAAGGCTAAATCTCCCAACGACTGCTTGTTTTCGGCGAGGGAGCACCAGTACACCACTAGCACGAACAATTCACTGCATACATACCCCTTATACAAGGGAGATATTACACGGCAAACACATGAAAAGTAAATACAACACTAACACTATCTTTACATAAACATTTCACAACCTTAAGGACTAATTCAATCCACGCAGGAACTATATGTGTTGCAAACGGGACATACATGCAGTCCAAGGATATCGAGGCATGCAGTTACTTCTCACTAAAATAAAACAACATGCTTGACAAGTATTCAGCACTTCACAATTCATGAATAAGTAGATGGGTGATTGCCAAAAGGTTGGACCCTAAGCACATCCATGCGGATGTTTGCAAGGAAGATACAACTAACTACCAATTGAACATGGAAAATGAGAAAACTCGTAAGAATCAAGACAAGGAGCACGTACCCTGCGGCGGACGCTTTCCGGAGGTGCGCGGTTCTTGCGGTCCTTACGGGAGCGGACACCGATTTTCTTCATATGGATGGCGCAGCCCACGCACCAGCGCTCCTTGATGTAAATCTTGGGCAGATGGTAACCTGCAACGAAAACACTTGTCAGTTATGCCACAAACGAACCAAGTGTTCACGCATTTCTAACTCACAAGAGGATCAGAGAAGAGGTGTGATACTGAAATTTCCAAGTTGCAGCCTTGCAAGGCAGCACTTTGATCCGCGATCACAGATCCAACAGTTAAGAACAGGAAAGAAGAAGAAATCAAAGGAGGAACCAAAGCCGCACCGTCAAGGACGGACGCCTCCGTGAAATAGCTGATGCCTTCCGGTGCCACGATGTTCTGCACCTTGTACCTCTTGATCGCCTTGTCCTGAACCACCACAAGAAACCCCGACATAATCAACGGACGGGCGCGGCAGTTGGTGCATGAGGAGAGAGTTTTGGGCTAGAGCGGCATGATCCAACGTACCTTGGGGACGCTCTTGGCGCAGTTGTCGCAGCGGATGAACCTGACGTGGCCGCGGCCATGCTTGTTGCGGCCGCCGTTCCGGCGCTTGAAGGTCTGTGACAGACACACGCAGCGAGGGAAAGGGTTAGACCTGCATTGGGTCGCATGCCGGAGTTGAGATGAAAGCGCAGGCGACGGGCTCTTACCATGGCGGCGGCGACGGCGCTCGGGCGAAATATACGGCGCGTGGTCGGCGGCGGCGTCTCCGAGCTCCGAAGTCTCCGGGTCCTTGTAGGGTTCGATCTGCCCCAGCCAGCCGTCCTCTCGTCTTTATATAGTCAGTGGCGGCACCAAATGGCATCCAAGCTGTTCGTTCCTGGATCGACGGTCCACGTTGCTAGCGGGCAGCAGATGGGTCTAATCGAAGGCGTATTCACTGCCTTTCCGCTTTGGCACTCGTCAACCGCTTCCAAGTGCTTCACGTAGTAATGGCATGTGCTGCTGCCTGCTGACACCTGATTTTTTTTTCTCCTGTCTGTCGATTCTCTGCGTTGGCAAACATGGGCCTGAGAAATCATCACACTTGGGCCTAAGAGGCGGAAACCTCATGTTCGCCCTCAATGGGTTGAAG